GGGGGGGGGGGGGGGGGGGGTGACGGTGGTGGTGGTGGTGGTGGTGGTGGTGGTGGTAAGAGAACGTATTTTACCTGCAAATTCACTTTGTATCGTTACGTCGCACGTGTAAAAATCCGCTCGACCTTTTCCAAATTGTTGCTCGATTTTTTGCGTGCAAAAGGCAGCGCGCGTGTGCATAGAATCTTGATCGAATATCGCAGCATACTGAAAGTATATAACTAAGTATCATTTAAGCTAATAATATCAGGTGACAATAGATAAACGTCAATTTACGAGTGTATAGAGGTGTGCCTTGTGGCTAAAGGAATCGATCATTCTTTATATCATAAAAAGTACATCTTACCATCTCGCCGGTGTATATTACAATGATACGTGTGACAGGATACGTTTGCAGTGTGTACGTAATGAAATTAATAATTTGACATTAACAAGAATTTTGTAGATGAGAGATCACATCATCATCTAACGGCATTGTTGGGCTATTTAAATATTTACACGAAACGAATATTTCGAACATTTCTCGGTAATGACTAAATTCGGTAAAAACTTGGTAGGGCTCATTGATTAAATGCGCATAACGAGATAAAATTTATCATTGAAAATACAATTTCGATATAACGGCTCAAAATGGCTATCGTACTGTTGCAATAAAAATCACTTGAATATTCGAAAATGCTACGATTGCTTTCGATTGGAATGAGTGTGATGTGTCGTAGGCAAAGTCGAAGGTAATGAGTAAATATTTATGAATAATATGGACTAATAAGTACTTTTATTAACAGGCCGATATATTATATATAAATAAAGTCTCATCCGCAGATAGCTCACTATAAATAAATAGAAAAAGACGGTACAAATACAATTGACAAGAAAACAAAAATACAAAACTATTTTTACGGCTTTCAGAATTACAGCGACTTCGATCAACCAACAAAATAGCTGAACAATAAGCACGGGAGTCTCCTATTTTGCCACGTGATTATGGGAAAATACTAGGAAATTTTCTTCTGTGGAATAAAAAAACAAAGCAGACAAACAACCAAATAAACAACCAAACAAACGAACAAACAAAACGGAAAATTAAATAAAATAGAAAAAAGGAAATGCGTTTGTAAACGATAGCGAAGACTTCACGGACACGTACGCATACGCTATTTTTATTGACTGCGCAGATGCCTTGATATTTCACCGAAATCAGCGATGTGACCGAGGCAGGTATACTACCATCATTGTTTATCAACTAATTGAGCAAGTTGATTATGGTAATGAATCGAGGAGATGAGAATCTGCAAGACGCGCGAAGTCGTTAGTGAATATCATTAAATCGATATTGGACATTGTCATCCTTAATTTTAAAATAAATATTTCGAAATGTCAGGCACCTGGCGCATTATTACCCGGCTTCCTTAACTTTGGAACTCTTCGAGGAACTATTCGATGGGAGGGAAACAATTTTACTTTTGACGATTGCCCATTACAATGGGACAAGAGACGGCGCTATGAATTACGAACACGATATCGAAATAATATCGATTCTACAATCGCCTAAGCTTTCGACCAACACTGATTACAATGTTCAACAACAATATACATATATATATATATATGGATAATTGTAAAATATTGCATATATTCAGGTTTATTTTAATTTAACGATGAAAGTGGTCGGCTACTACTAGACGATGATGGCCTTCAAATTTAACATAATTACGAAGTAGTGTTGCTTGGCTCTAACCTTAAGAAAAGTGGGATACCGCACTGTGTATACACAAGCGGTATCAGAAAATATTTCTTTTTCATGTAAATTTAATTATGAGCCTCGGCTCGTCAGCAATTTATTTAACAGAGAGATAAGAGATTACAATATTTTAAGTGAGTATGCCTCGTAAGGAGAGAAATTAAGCTCAATACACAATAATGTCTGAATTAACGACGTATTACATGCTACATTAACGGAAATATCTTGTGTATATATACATGCGTATATGTGTGAACAGTAGCAGTTTAATAAAGCAAATCTCTCAGAACACGTATACAGTATCTTATGTAGTCACCAGTAATTTCGTAAAAGATTAATTAATTGGAACATTATAAATTTCATTAAAAACAAAAAAAAAATAAAAAAAAAAAAATATATATATATATATATATATATATATATATATATATATAGAGAGAGAGAGAGAGAGAGAGAGAGAGTAAAAATCATGATTAATATTATAATGTTAAAGTATATTGAATACAATAAATTTACGGCTTATATACGATTAGCGTAAACAATTCCACTCAAAGTTATTTCATAACCTTTTAATAGTACGTATTAATATTGATATTTAGTGTTAATGTCTCATTTTAATGCTCTGGGGCAATAATTAAACGAACAATTATCATATAAATCGCCTAAACCGAAGATGGAAATTTTTATTTTTGTTTTGTTTTGTTGTTGTTGTTGTTGTTGTTGTTGTTGTTTTTTTGTTTTTTTTTTTTTTTGTTTTTTGTTTTTAATAATTATCGCAACGAAGAAGCGTGCGCGTACAGGGGGCAACGTAAAAGGAAAAGCCCAACGAAAGTTTTAACGAATCTCTGTATAAATCACACGGCCAATGTAAATGGCAATCCCAAGAAACACAAAAACATTAATCACAACAATTTATCACAAATGTTCACGCACTTTGCTTATTATGAATATCTCTAGCTCACTCTATCGACAGTCACCTCCATCTCAACTCCTCCCAATGAAATGAGATGAAAATCGAGCATCGATGAAAGAAATGAATGAAAAAGGTACCTTGGCCCCATGAGTCAATAAGACTTGCACAGTGGCGAAACCAATTCCGCCGCACCCGCCGGTTATAATGGCAACTTTGTCTTTAATATTCATTGTTTTCGTGGAAAAGCGTGGAGCGTCGTCGATACCGGCGGCCCGTACTCGAAGCGAAAAAGCAACTCCGAAAAGCCGATGTTTCCAGTTTAGCGTTTATTATCGGACTATGTCTCGAAGATGGAAAGACGTCTATTCGACCGCTATTATCTGGAGAGAAAAAAATTCAACGTTAGAGGTTATACTGATTGCGCGAGAAAACGACGTCTGTCACTTAATATGGACTTATCTGATGCATTATTTACGAATTAGTGAAGACCGGCAAATGGAATAAAATTATATCTTAGTATATTGTGACATTTTTCTCTTGGAATACACAAGTATTTTCGTGAACTATTATTTCGTAATGGCTATCTATTATTAAGACATAGTTATGGATAAACTTGCTAACAGCCTTGATAATGTAGTTTTTAATTGGTAAATCATCCCATGCTATGTCATATTGCTCGAGGGATCGTGGCTGACTGTAGATTCTTTTTTAGAATAAGTTATCGGAATCGCTCCAATTAACATTGCTTAACATCACAATAACAAAAGTTTTTACTTACTATTAACAATAATGAATTAATCGTCAACGATAATACGAATATCAAATTAACTATTTCAACATTTATTCAATTTAGCCAATTATAAGCGTACAATACGCCAATTATATTGTGCGTATATACACTCGTTACACTGTGACAAGGAATATTTAAAAAATTTCAGTATTATTATATACTGTAAAAACATTGATAAGAAAAGATTCTTAATTTCATATGTATTAGCCAACGTAATTCTTTTCCAAGTATGTCATTATGAAAAATCATAAACCGTATCTTTCGTTGCCGCTAGTTTAAATTTACTTTGATACTATTACCTACGACATTACTAATATTCTATATATTTAATTTTCATTTTTACCCTCCCCTCCCCCTCCTCACTCTCTCACTCGCTCTCTCTCTCTCTCTCTCTCTCTCTCTCTCTCTCCTCCACCACTACCGCCCATCCCACTCCAACTGCTATTTTTCTTGTTCTTGTTCTTCTTCTTCTTCTTCTTCTTCTTCTTCTTCTTCTTCTTCTTCTTCTTCTTCTTCTTCTTCTTCTTCTTCTTCTTCTTCTTCTTCTTCTTCTTCTTCTTCTTCTTCTTCTTCTTCTTCTTCTTCTTCTTCTTCTTCTTCTTCTTCTTCTTCTTCTTCTTCTTCTTCTTCTTCTTCTTCTTCTTCTTCTTCTTCTTCTTCTTCTTCTTCTTCTTCTTCTTCTTCTTCTTCTTCTTCTTCTTCTTCTTCTTCTTCTTCTTCTTCTTCTTCTTCTTCTTCTTCTTCTTCTTCTTCTTCTTCTTCTTCTTCTTCTTCTTCTTCTTCTTCTTCTTCTTCTTCTTCTTCTTCTTCTTCTTCTTCTTCTTCTTCTTCTTCTTCTTCTTCTTCTTCTTCTTCTTCTTCTTCTTCTTCTTCTTCTTCTTCTTCTTCTTCTTCTTCTTCTTCTTCTTCTTCTTCTTCTTCTTCTTCTTCTTCTTCTTCTTCTTCTTCTTCTTCTTCTTCTTCTTCTTCTTCTTCTTCTTCTTCTTCTTCTTCTTCTTCTTCTTCTTCTTCTTCTTCTTCTTCTTCTTCTTAATTTATCAGATTTATAAAAGTTTTTTCGTCTTAATCTTCGTAAAAGACATTTTAATAAAACTTTTGTCATTTTATTTTATTCAATGGTAATAAGCTTTTCTTCCCAATTATTTATTAAATAATTAATTAATATTACTATATACGATATTCCTCGTACTTTATCGTTAATCTAATTTTTTCATTCATTTTTATTTTCATCTAGTCGTTGCACTCTTTTCCATTATTTATTTAAAAAAAAAAAAAATATATATATATATATATATGTTTTCAATTATCTTTATGAGAGAAATGCCGCGAGAAAAAAAAATGCTAATATATCAAACTAATTTCAAATACTTTTCATAATCTAAATTTATCTCCTACTAATAAGTCGTTAAATCTAAGATGCATTTTAATATTTAATTTATTATAAAATAAGGAAATTATGAATGAAAATTATCATTAATTCTTATCTTCGCAACGTAAAATTATTCGATTAAACTATATTTTTATAACGTGACTTTTTATACAAGTATTACCGTCTTGAGGCGTACGATGGATTTGATAATAAATAAAAATTTGATAGATTTTACCTCAAATTGAACTTTTTCTGAAAAGATTGTTTGTTTTAATTTTAAGTTTACTGTCGGCACTACCATACCATACCATACCATACCATACCAACGCAAGACGATACAAATCGTATTCACGGTCAAACAACCACATCCACGGGCACTCCAGTGCACATGTACATACGTAAACATCACGGATCATTTATATGTCGTCGAAATTATTGAAATTCGCGTGTTGTATTCTATCCTAAAATAATATATATATATATATATATTAGATTGTCAAGTTCTAGATAAAAACTCAATTTCTCAAATATTTTCTAATACGTCGTTTGTTAACGGGAATTTTTTTTTAAACAACATAAATTTCTTTGATAATTATTTAAAAGTAACTTATTGCTCTTAGGAATATCGAAGTTGTTCCAACAGATTTTCTTTTCTCGTCCAATTAGAGATCGTCGACTTTTAGTTATTGATAGATCGTTCTATTTTCTCTACATTAAACATTCGACCAAATCTCGGTTTCATTTCAACATCAAAAATATTACTTTACCGCTTACAAACAACAGACTTTCATCTTTTAATAATAGTATTCAGTCGGAAAAAAGTCTCTTTTTTGTGTTTGATATTTCATGATATTTATTGAAATCATAGAAAATAGTCATTATAAACGAAAGCAATGCCACTGTTTGGTAACATTATTAGATGTTTTGTTAATTATATATAAATTTTTTGGCATTTTCGTTTTTGTGCAGAGTGAGCGATGAATTTTAAATTATTTTACCTTAATTATCTCCAAAATTTATCGAACATTCGTTCTATTCACGGTGCCTCATCTCTTTCCTGAATTCTCGACTCCAACATCATCCTTCCTTAGCCCTTCTATCGCCATAAATGAATATATTCACATTATTACATATAAACTACAAATATAAAGTGCACGATGAACCACGATATTGCACAATTGCAGCATATGAAATCGGTCGTAATGAAGTCGGTAGGCCGGGATGATGATGTCGACAAGTGTCGTCTCCTATAGTATTATCGTATACTATATGATCGTCGACTTGGGAAATTATCGGGCGATGCGACAATGTTGTTCCTCTCTACCTCTCCAATGTCACGTGGCGAAACATGAAGGAACCCGAAACGGCCAACATGTAAATTTTCGTACGTACAGCTATGATCTAAAAAAAAATCTTTCGATTAAAATTTCAGGGTCAATGTCTTAAGCCGAGATTGCACGCACCCAGGCACTACCTAACGTCTTTCTTCCTTAAGCTATTTCTAGGCTTTCGAAATGCCCGCCTACTTTGGTACTACGAGAGTTCGCGTTATCGCTGTCGTCTAATGGAGATTACGTGAAGTATAATATTATACGGATGTGTCGATGCAGGTTTCGCGGTAACAAACTACGTTCCTTAGCAAAGACGTACAAAAAACATAATTTAATAATTTAAACAACTTTATTAATTGGTGTTTAAAATGAGCTCTTCCTTCCACTCTTTCTCTCTGCCCTCTCTGCCCTCTCTCTCTAGGCCTATATCTTTCAAAAAAAAAAAAAAAAAAAAAAAAAAAAAAAAAAAAAAAAAATAAATAAATAAATAAATAAATAAATAAATAAATAAAATAAAGTGAAATTGAAGATATAATTTGAAAAGATATATTGCCGCGTAGATGACGATGCTTACGCACATTGATGAGAGGAAATAATTGGTAAAGTAACGGCCACCTAGCGGTTCTCCACTCAATAACTTCAGCTCAAATGGTACATCTAATAATTACATTTTAACCCGTTAATTCTTAATAAACTACATAATGCAAGTATTAGCCTGATTTAGAGTTTGTACAACCAGTTTTAGTAAAGTCAGAGCTCTTCTCCTATTCTATTATTATTGTTATATCGGATTAATATTGTGCACTGCTTAACGACGGTATTACGAAGGCTAATATTTATTATTGTAGATGGTATATTTGAAATATTCACCTTTGGTACATTTAAGGAATAATATTATGAGATAAGCGATTTTAATTAAAGAAATGTAAAGATTTGCCGTTTACATCATGATAATACAGAATGCTCGAATAATTGGAAATTTAAGTAAAATATTATGTTTACATAAATTTTAACATTTATGTCTTACTTATTAATAAACTTAATGAAACAATGATATTTACTCGAGTGGGATTCCCTTACTGGGCATAAATTAGATTAAGCAATTTTAAGTGATTAATTAAGCAATATTAGCTTAATTTATGCAAATAGACAAATGCACAATAATAATAATAATAATAATAACAACAACAACAACAACAACAACAGCAACAATAATAATAATAATAATAATAATAATACTGGCTTATCACATTGAGAAATAATAACGTACTTTCAGATAATTATTAAAGTAAACCGTTTTGACTATCAAAAACAATTGACTATCAAAATAAAAATCTCATAAAATTTGTGATGAAATTATTGTGATGCATTTTACCTTATTTAATTATTTATTCTTTTTTATCGTACGGTAACGTAGAATAAGAAAACAATAAGCCAGTGAATTATTGAAAACTAATATAATGGTAGTTTTATAATTTAATTAGTATAAATTTTTGATGTACAGTATATTATTATAATTTTTTAAACTATAAAATGATAGATATGATCCGATATCCCAGTCGTTGTTCGTCGTAGTAAATATTTATTCTACTGCTAATTAACATTATACTCTCACGATGGTGCGTCCGTCAATGCTTGACCGAGATGTTATTTTTACATCATAGTTTATTTTTTCTGCGCGTACGCCATTCTCACATTGCAAAATAAGTAAAAAAAAAAAAAATTAAGTACGATTTAGCGGATGGACGTATAATAACTTTATTTCAAATTAATAATTCAAATTCAATGGCAATAGAAAATTTATATGAAATGTTCCTTGTTTAATTTAGTTGGAGTAAATCTGACATTAAAGACCAAGCGATTTGTAATTTAATGAATATTTAATGAATATTTAGCGCCTAAAATTTTATTTATCACTTAGAATGTAAACTTTAGTCTTTAGTCGATAGATAATATGGCGAATCTTCCAATGGCTATCCTAAGGCGCTAAAATACGAGTTATTATTAAATTAAATTCAAATCTATTCGTCGGCATTAAAATAATGATAAATTATTTTGTTTGATAAAAATTTAGTTCGAATTAGTTTATTATTTTTTTTTTTCTTTTTTTTTTTTGTTATTTTTATCACTAGGATTGTAATTATCACTCAATTGTACATAAAAAGTTTCAAATTTAACATACATATTGCATACGTACGTAATAAAGTACGAGTTATGAATTCACATTAATGACGTTTAAAAGCATTCGAAACATAATAACGATTTATAAATTTAATGGCATTGATGGAAAGTGTTGACTTTACTTGACATTAAATGTTGAAGCAGTCAAGCAGAAGAAATTGTAACGTATGTGTATATTCTCGATTATTATAACAATGCACTCCGCCAATCAATTTCTAATCCTATTATTATATGTTATTGTTTTTGTTTGCTGTCCATCTATCAAGCTTTAAATAAACATTATTATTAATGTAATCGTTTACGTTTAATTGTCTATTTAATTGTCCTTTAATCGGTCAAGCAGCGAATATTACGTGTCACGTCAATCGAATATTTTGCATTTACAATTGCATCGCTAAATGTAACGTAACATCGCCCAGAGTGGGGCAAGTCCGTGGAAAGAAGAGTCGTTGTTTAAATAAAGCATAAAGCCGAGTTCATTAAGAGTGACGTTAAGTTTTCTACAAAAGACATAATTTTTTGTTATTAAACATCGCACGCCTACTTATCATCAATGCGCGTTATCTTATTTGAAAGGGAATACTTTAAGATTAAGAGACTTTAGTCTGTTATAACCTTGAGGTAATAATGCCGGTGTAATATTAAAGAAAGAGCGTCATACCATTGATAAATTGTGTTTTTTACATCTTCTTCTTCTTCTTCTTCTTCTTCTTCTTCTTCTTCTTTTTCTCTCCATTTTTCTATTTCTATTGTTTCGTAACATAAATCAAGACGAGTTGATAAAAACGTGAACATTTCATTATTATGAAAATTTTATTAAATATAAAAGACATTTTATAAGAACTTAAACGTCATACAGATATTTTTAGTGTTATCGGTAAAGTCGTTGCTTCAATTTCAAACGCAATAAAAAATATGCCGTCAAATCCAATGCAATGTAAAGTCCTAGTAAGACGAGCGTTGAAAACCAGTATTCCGAGTTTTTCATGTCAACTGTCTTTAAGAGCTTCTTTGGCGAGATGTAGTGGCAGTAATCTTTGGAGCATTTCATGTTTGGTCTGTCGTACCTAAAAAGCGCACAAACTAATTACCAAAATGTTAACATAACGTTTACTTTATGTTAAAGGTCGGTTATGCTTAACGGGCGTAGTCTTATTAAATTTTGTTAAGAGAGAAGCGACGCTCTCGTTGATAAAGGAGAGTCTAGTCGTCGGCTCGTTAATTCACTCGCAGGATATTATTAGCTTGCGATGTGTGGATAAATGCCAGGTTGCATTAAATAAAACGAAGCGTATCGCCGAGTATTTATATGCTTATTATCGCGAGTGGAATGCACATTAATTTATTCGCTTAATGCCGATGGTGCGAACGGCGAACGTTGCCGCTTACCCATAAATGGCCACCATAACGCCTTCGAATCCATACTTGAGGAAAGACATGTGAAAGAGCCATTGCAAGTAGGGATGGGCGTCATTGAGATGCACAAAGAATCCGCTGAACATCATGAACGGTAAAATGGCAAATGGTCCAAAAATAACGCCGTTCTGTAAAATGTCGAAGATGTAGAGGAGAGTATTATTATCAGTAGCATTGAGTTGTCAAGTAATCGGGGCGGGTGGTCACGAGGAAGAGGAGTCGTAATTGTCGTCGTCGTCGTCGTCGTCGTCGTCGTCGTCGTCGTTGCCGCCGATTTACCTGCACGTTGAGACTGGTGCCGAGTATCATGCCGATTGTCTGAGCGACGAGACTCACGAGGACGCACATCATCACGAACAGCCCGAGCCTGTTCAACTCCGGGATCTGTCCGCTCATCTGGTAGACGACGAGGGCGTAGGTCGAGGTCGCGGCCACCTGCACCGGCAGATCAGCGAGTTTGTTCGCCATGTAGAACGAGCGCAGCTTGTACCAGCGATTGAAGTGCTCGCGGATGAGAATCGGCAGCTCGGCTGGAACTGGAACACGAAATTGTCATTATCAAGGTTGGAGTATCTCTCTCTCTCTCTCTCTCTCTCTCTCTCTCTCTCTCTCTCTCTCTGTCTCGATAGATTTACGGGGGCAAATGTAGCGCGGTAAGGTAAAAATATATTTTAAAGCATAATCCGCAAGCTCGCAAGACTGCTCATTGTGCAAATATAAATTTTACGATAAAAGCGTCGCTCGATCGACCATTAATGACATTAAATTTTATTCTTAAATAGCGACTGATACGATCGTTGAAAGTATATTACGTCTGAGGCGAATAGCGCGCATGGAGGAGGATCGAGATCGGAATGCTTGTGCGTTCAATGTCGAGATACTTACTTGTAATGAGCGTGGCGTTGAAAACACTAAACATAAGAAACATCATACTGAAAAAGAGTAGATTGAAGTTGTCTATGGCGTAGGCCGCGTCTTGTCCAATTTTATAAAATATGGTGCCAACGAGAAGTGCAATGATAAAGTGCATCGTCAAACGTGTAAAAGTCAGCACCTAAAAAGGAAATCCAATGTTCGTTATAATTTTATTATGGTACCGCGGGGACTCGTAAAAATCACGAAAATATTAGTATTCGTTTATTAAGTGCAGGAAAGAGTCTCAATTGTAGTTAAACCGGCCAATAGGTAAGACAAAAAAAAAAAAAAAAAAAAAAAAAAAAAAAAAAAGAGTAAAAACAAAAACAAAAATCAAAATACATAAATAAACATAATCTAAGTGTAAGAAGCATCGAGTGTATTAAAGAAACGCCAATCATATTGATTAATCTTGGATAATTGTTTAAAACGCTCACAATCATGTGCATTATCGATGCAAATAATTTTGCGTCAGGAGCAGAGTTTATATTGACATTATATCTCGTGCAATTTCCAGAAATTTATTATTTACTCTTTCGCAATTTGAACAATATCAAGACTAACGACATTGGCACGACGCGAATTCTTATCGTTTATTTATCTTTGTATATTTTCCGCTCTTGCTATCATCGTCTGCTATCATCGTCGTCGTCGTCGTCGTCGTCGTCGTCGTCGTCGTCGTCGTCGTCATCATCATCACCACAATCATCATCATCGTGATTATTATTATTATTATTATTATCGTTCGCCTAGAGGGAGACGGGATTGCAAAGACCCAGGTTCGTACCCTGTCCCTGGAGAGCCTGAGAGCGTTACGCCAAAGGAGAATGCGCAGCTGGCTCCAGGAGTTGGTGGCATAATAGGCCGAGCCCTTGGCCTGGCTCTCGTAAAAGACGGGCGTCGTCGGGAGTGGGATCTTGGGCGCGAGCTCGGGGGCCGAGGAGGCCATTCGCGGAAGCTTGGCTCTGCGATCGTGGGAGCCGCCGTGGCCCCGCCACAGCTGGCTGCAACCATTGCCCGATGAGGCGATGAGCCTCGGTAGGTGATCCCCGTAGTCGCCGTTTATAATCTCCAGCACTGAAAAGGGTCGATGAACGATTAGGCAAAGCCCGCCAAGCCTCGGGAATTACGGGAATCAATGGCTCACGAAAGTCGGCCGGGTTGTGGTAGGTTGGACAGTGAAGGTCGAGTTTCTGGAGGAAGCCGAGCAGGTTTTGGGCTCCGCCTGCGTACGCGCACTGGCCCTCAGCTACCACATACAGATGATCGATCATGTCGAAGAGGATGGCACTCGGCTGGTGGATCGTGCACACTACCGTTCGACCTTCGCGGGCCAGCGACTTTAGCAGCCCGACGCACTGCCTCGAGGTCACGCTGTCCAAGCCACTGGAATTTTTTTTTATTGCAATTATAAGAGTATTGAAATGGTCGTGGCTATTCTAACGATAACTTGAAGAAATATTAATTGGCTGGAGGCTCAATTGGTGGAGTTGCGATCGTCTACCTGACGTTTGCTCCCCTCGTATGCACGTTATTATTTGCATTATGGCGGGAAATGTCTAAGCTTTGAAGGGGACAAAAAAAAAAAAAAAAAATTAATAATATAAACTACCTCGTCGGCTCGTCGAAGAACATAATTGGAGGATTGCTAATCAATTCTAAAGCTATGGCCAGCCGCTTCTTTTGACCACCGCTCAAATTTCCAGTTCGCGTCTTCCGGGAGGCGTCCAGGCCCATCTCTCTTAAAATCACATCTACCTGAAACATTCGCAATTGGCAATTGTATTGCATTAATCATCCGAGTGTAATCTTATTATAGGATGACTTATAGAGCGTTTGGGAAAAAGGGTTCGAGTCTGCTTGGAGGGGCTTTCGCGTCAGACCATTGGAATTCCTTTGGATAGAGAATTTGAGGAGATAGTTTAATTATTAATAATGGTTCGACCCGAATCTGTAAAATATATTAATGTTGAAATTTTCGAACGAGTAGATTTTTATAGGCTCGAGTATTGAGTGGGGGTGGGGTGGCAAAGTTAAGACTCTTTGCCCCTTTTCCGTCAAATAGCCAAAAGCAAAAATGATAATTTAACGTGAATCGAACGCGTACAAAACTTTTAACTTTTAAAAGCTAAGAAATTAAATGAAGAGTCGCCGAGGATGATTGGAACGGTATTGGATGCTTGAGCGTCAAGTAAGTTCATTCGATCGGCATAAAAGTGACATATTCGTATAAAGCTTGAAATTATTTTGATTATATTGTCGCGCCGGCATTATGAAAGAAATGACGTTGTAAGGTATAAGAAGAAATTAAAGAAAAAAAAAAGAAAGAGAAAAAAAATTGTCTACAAGATCGTGTGTGCGTGTGTGCGTGTGTGCGTGTATGTATTAACGATCATATTAGTGTAATTAGGATAAGCAGCGGAAAAATCAACGGCACAGTGTGCGTTCCAAATATCCAAGCAAGTTGAGTGCTTCGTATTTGACGAGAGCATAAACGTGTCGTTAGAAGGCAAATTACCGGCAGCTGGTAAATTTTTAATCGCTCGCACTCCAAATTACAATCGCGTTTCATCAAGAATGAAATGAATTCTTACGCCTTCTTGTTTAGCGCTGTGCGATGTGTCGAGCTTAAGGTTGGCAGCTACGCTCATGATCTCCTGGACAGTGAGGAGCGATTGCAAATTGTCGTCCTGCATGATATAGGCTGATGTGCGACGAAACGCCGTAAGATCTCGCGTTTGGCCATTGACTAGGATACTGCCCGTGACGTTGGAAGTGCTAAAGTTAATGCATTATGGCATTATTGCAATTGATTTTTAGGTGGGAAGGAGGGGGGAGGGGAGATGAGGGATGACGTTGCCGTGCATCATTACAGTTGCTAAGTTAGTTGGACGAAGAGGCCGGCTTAAGCGCTAAAATTCATATTGTTATTTTGTACGAGTTGAAGAGGCCTTTTCTCATTCGCATGTTTGGCAGCAAATTTGGCAACAAAGTTCAATAACTATTAATTTATGCGTTTGTACGCGATAAAATGTGAATTTCTTGGTAAATTGTTTGATGCTCGATTTAACGAGTTCGTAGCTCCGAATTGTCGAGATATACAGAGACATTTTAATGGAGAAGATATATTCCTCGGCTATACTGAAGAAATTTTAATGGGCAATAACGCGAAGTGACTGACATGGATGTTGAGAGGCGCATTGGCTTTATTTATTTATTTATTATTTTTTTTTTAAGTGCGCCATCAATTTACTTTGACGCTTGCATCGATGTTTAATGAGCATTTACGTATTTACAACATGTTTAATTTTGTTTTTCTCTTCATCCTTTCTTAGAGCTCAGCGCAAGCAATCGTGGCATTCTGAGTTTATAACGGTAGAGACATTATTTATTTCGACTTTCGCGAGGACAAACGCTGCGATGCAACATAGCGAGCTACAATATGAATAATTTTCATAAGATACGGTATCGCCGTGACTCGAGATGGATATTGGGCGTGGATTTATCAAGGTATTATCCAATTATCCAGACTAAAATCTCGCCAATACCTTTGCATGCTCACCAAGCATTTATATCAAATTTCTAGTCGAGAATACTTGAGTTTATCGCTTGAGCAGGTAAAGAGATCGAACTAATATAAAATTTGATAATAGTTATTATGTTTAGCTTACTTTTTCATTTCACGAAAACGTTTCATGGAAAACGATAAAATTTCAAAATGCCAATTGTATATCTGTCGTTGTTCGTAATGGCAAATTTAAGAATTGTATGTAAGGTGTAATGCGCTTAGATAGAAAGAATAAGTGAAACGGGGTTGGTTCAAAGATTTTCAACCTTCGATCGATCATTAAAGAATCGAGAAATTTGAAATTATTTGATTGAATCAATAATCAAGAATATTTGAGTGTTAGGGGAATTTCTTGCAGTGTCGTTGTCGCGTCAAAAATGTCGTCCATTCGTCAATAATAATGTTGGGTGCCGACTAACGAGATTCTTAATAAAATATGAAGTAAAAGTGAAATCTGAACACATTAATATAAATTCTTATTTATTATCGTATTTTTCTTTTCTTTTTTTCATTCAATTAAATTAATTATAAATAAAGACGTTGTTGCTCCATCCTTAAAATCATAAATAATTCTACTCGGCTGTGAATGACGATGACGTAAAATGATTTGCTCTCAACACTAGACCTTATTATTTAATCACGTATTACAAATTACATGATAATTAAACCGTTAATGGACATTAATGGAGAACAAAGGAATTAATTCAATTATTAAATTCTAGACTATCATAGAAGAAAACGAATAAATAACTTATTTTGTTATCGTAATTCGTCACCTTTAACGAATGTTCATGCAGCATTTATACAATTTGATACGTGTACGATTAGGAAAGATTAATAGACTTACGATTGGACAGTGATAATTTTATAATATTAACCGATTTATATAATGATTATTACCTTGATTGTGATATTGGAGAATTTTTGGTAACACAAAAAAACAAGTATTGCACGAATGATAAAAAGAGGACAATTTATTTTTCATTATCTTCCATATTTAGAAACTCGTATGAAATTTAATGAAATTCTTCAACTTGTAACAATGAACGGTGAATTATTGAAAAAGGGAAAAAATAAAAACTAAAATTATTCAATATATTTCTTTAATATCAAATTGAATGCAGCGGTAATGCAATGTGAAAAATTATTATTTCCGATAAGGAATCCCAAGCATGATATAGAGAAATTTATAAAAATTATGAAACAGAATCAAACAAATGTATTTGTAAGTGGAAGTGTATTTGTTTACCTACAAAAAAAAAAAAAAAAAAAAACATAAAATTATATTTAAATTAGATTTTCGTACATATTATATTCTCTGCAAATGGTAAAAATATTTCCAAATTATTTTTACGATTTTTTTTTCAATTTTGATTCTTTGATTCAAATTGATTTAGTTTTTTTTTTTATTTTTTTTTTTTTTTTTAAAATTTTTTTTTTTTTTTTTTTTTTTTTTTTTTTTTTTTTTTTGGTCTTTGTTTCTACAATAAATGATAGTTGCTAGTAATTAAGTATAATAAAAACAAAAAACATTAAAAAGTTCTTCATTACATAAACTGATACATAAACTGTAATAAATTATGCAAGTCATTGTAATTTTATACATTTGGTTGCTTATTTTACTCATGTAAACTCAAAGAAACGACATTTTACAATCAAATTTTCAAAATACAAATATACATATACTAGATATATGTCTGCAACGTATATATAACTCCTTCAAAAATTGTGACGTAACGAATAAATTATTATAAATTATTAAAGAGTTTTATAGTGGAGTAGGCGAAAATCACTACATATCCAACTAAATGACTTTATCATTAAAAAATATTTTAATTATGCTATGCTTAATTAATAACTGATTTTTACTTTTTTCTTTAATAATTATAAATTGCAAACAATAATAAGAATAAAAATACGTTTCAATAGTACCAAAATATTAGTTGAATTGTCAGATCTTTTGAGTTGAAAGAGCGCAGAAGCTTAGAGCTTTCATAATAGCTTTAATAATAACGTAATAGTAACTGAAAATGTGTTTGTACGTGTGCGTGAGTTCGTGCGCGCGCGCGCGCAAATGTGTCTGCCAGAAAAGGCACGAGAGATGTGAAAGTACTAGTCTTCAATTTCTAATCCTTATTAAAAATGTATACATCATAGATTTATAATAGTTTTTCATAATTGTTTATAATTGTAAGCCAAAATGGTGCAAATTACATTAAAATTATTATTTAACCAACTATCCATGAGACTTTGAGTTACGTATAATCTATCTACTTATATTAAACTGTCGATATATAAATTAATTAACCTAAATGTTTGTAAATATCAAACATCGTACCGTATTATTCAATGGTAATATCACGTAGTTTTCTGATATCGAATTTAAAATTACAACTTTTTAAATGACATCGCTCAACTTATTTTTAAAACTAAATTATATTCTCAACTATTTTCTCATTAATTTATAATAAATTTAAATTATAACAAAGCGAAATAATACGAGGAATGATAATATTAATCATTAAAAACTATATTTTATACGATCCTGACAAACCAAATTTACCAACTGCTTGTAAGGCAAAATTCTAGTTCATCGTTTATTTTTAAACGAATTGTTACGCATATTGTTAATTTTAAATACACAACTTACAATTGTATATATGATTCTATTTATATATATGTATGAATTATAATTAAGGACGTATATATAAATACTATCGGAGTAATACTTTCCAATAAATAGTACAAATCGTTTCACTAAATAGCCAAACTTGCGCTTATTAGCTTATTGGAGCTGCCACTTTAATAATAATTAATATTGAATAATAAAACAATATAAATGATCGTGCAACTATGATGCTCGGCAAAACTATAAAATTGATTTGGACGTAAAAAAAAAAATTGAGTACAAATAATAAAATATCAATTCATAAACACCTTACTTATTGTTTATATTACAAATAAACGAGCGTTTATTATCATAATTTGCTTTATCATCGCTCAATACTCATACCATTACGAAATTTCATTTATAAAGCTTATATGCCATACACTAAACACGTAAAATTCAACCTATTAAAGCATTGATAAATTTCTTACGCTAATCTATTGGCTACAGTAACTTTATTGGCCTGTGTTGATGTAAATAGGAGGTGTGAAAGTCGCGAACAACGAGTAAAAAAGTTTTTCAAGTTTAATAGTGAATTATCGAGAAATTGCGATATACATAACTTTTTCTTTCAACGCTACGATCTTATTGACAAGATCAGATAGATAAAGTATTATCCGTGTGAATTGATATTCGTTAAAAAGTATTGGTAATTCAATACGGTCAATTTTATCTCAGTTTACTTTTGCTTTTACATAATTAATTCAATGCCCTAGAGTTAAATGATAATTATAGATTATTAAACTAATCTATTATTCATATTATTATACTAAATAAATTAATTCCAGGTTGAAAATATTTATAAAATATACCGAGCACTTAAAAGATTAAATTTGCATGAAATTTGCCACGACTTTGTCATTATTCCAATAACTTACGTGAAACCAGCCAAAATATCCATTAACGTAGATTTCCCGGCTCCGGATGGGCCCATAATTGCAGTGAGTTCACCAGGTCGAAAATCGCCGCTAACATTCGACAATACATTTTTCTTTTCTGTAAACAAATTTGATATTGAATCGATCGTAATACATGTATTATATCTCATAAGAAACATCTAAACTTTACTCGCTTACAAGGATTTATTGACAATTTTATTGACAATTTTATTGTATAACTGTGACTCTTGTGAATATACAATTCATGAATTTCTTATAATCTTGGATTAAAACAGTATGGAAATTTGTCTTAATTGCTTCAAAAAATCTTCTCTTGAAATATTTTCGTTTTACATTGATTATTACAAAGCAACATACAATATAGAATACTAAAAATTATTCCATTATTTATAATAATTTGCTTATGAGAAAGAAGAATTATAATTTTAATTGCAAGAAATCTATTGTCAAAAACTTCTGCCATTATTAGCTTAAGCTTTATGAAATTCAAAAAAAAAAAAAAAAAAAAAAAAAAAGAAGAGAGAAAAAAAAAATAACAATTATAATAAAAATTCTTCTTCTTCTTTCAAATAAACAAATATTCTAATGATAATGTGTCATTTTTCGTAAGTAAGTAGATAGGGGACTGAAAATAATGTAATATATCGCATTTTAAACAGTTCAACAAATTCAAAATAAATAGTAATAAAATACAGTAGATAATAAATATGAGTATTAACTTGATATTATGAGTGCTAACGCACTTAAATGTATAATTTAAAATATTTGTTGGCGTCGAAGTATAATACCAACTTATCCTCTTTAGTCACTTAAAGTGTGCATTCGAAAATAATATTAACCTACACAGATACGTTTCTTCGCGACCTTTAACTGTCATCACAACCAATTTTGCAATTCTTGCATATTTTCACATAAGAATGCCCATTTTTCTCTGATAAAGGAAAAGTTTATAATAATAGATAAATGTTTTCCTAGATAAGATCAAACGAATGTATGTAAGTGCGTGCGTAAGTTTATTAATTTGCTAATGAATGAGTCAACTTATATAAGCGATTGTACGTTTTTCGGTTAGACAATTTTTCCTTTTCGTTATAATTTACAATGAAACGAAATGTTTATAATGAATTATCTGAAACGTATCACTTGTCATTTTAAGAAGATAATTCAATCTTAGCTCGATGTGCTTAACCAAACGATATAATAATAACAATTTTATACTGTCCCTGGGCAACAATTTTACGACAAATGTAATTGTTTATAATTTATTCGCTACGTATGAAGTATTAGAGATAATGTTCCTTTACGGTCGATCAATTATCCGAGGGATGAATAAAGTCCATCGCGCCACAAAATATGGCCTATCTCTCAAGAATTAGAAATTGCTTTTGAAGCGACGACGTTATAATTGTAATTTTCTAATTGAAATGATAAAGTTAGTGTCCATGTATTCTCCCGATTGATAATGACTTTTTCATGGAATAATTATATATTCAGCCTCGATACTTTGTTCCAATAAATTTTATTTTATTCAATTAGCCATTGAATGCGATATAATGAAAATGTAAAACAGCAGTTGTCGTCACTACTCCACTATTTATATACGATATTTTCGAGCTTCTATTCAATTTATTATATTATTTTAATTGCTATTTATCAGATGTACATAAGTGAGCGTTTTATTTATGATAAAATTTATGATACTGATATAATTAGCTTAACCAATCCTATAATCGATTATAAATGAAAGAATGTGTTATCTATTGCGTTTATATATATATATATATATATATATATATATTTTTGTCAAATTATTTTGAAATGTTTAGAATGTCACATTGGCTCGTCGCATTTTCATTACTCAACCTTTCAATATAATATCCAATTGATTATCCAAGCATTTAAATAATATCCGCGATTCGTCGATTTAAGATCTTATATTTACAAAATCGAATTGCCACATACGATTTACGAAAGGTTTTTTAACAGTTGAATTGTATTGGAAAAATATTCAGCTACAGTAGATGCTTTTACATCCTATCATTTAATCAACATTCTTTCCACATCTTTATTATACACTTTGTACTACGGTATTCATGATCCTTGAATATTCTCAAAAAGCATTAAATAACTAATGTAAAGTAAAATAAAATAAAACGATACATTTAGTTACATATATAATTATCATTGTAGGCTAAAAATACGCTGATAAACGCAATAAATGACAGAATATTCTCAAAGTCTCAAATAATGTAATTATAAGTTGAAGCCATCTTTCTTTTGCACCTATTAGAATACTATTGGACATTCTCTCATAGATACAATTTCTAATTGAACTTGTAGAGGAAATTTTAATAAAAATTAAGATAATGACAGAGATGCAGGGACCTAAGGTTATTGAAATGAAAATTCCTGAAATTCGATAAATTCGGCGGGAAAGATGTAGCGAAATAAGGCGAGAATAATTCGGAGATTGAAAGGACTTTGAGGCGTTGGATGAAAGTGTGCTGAAAAAGCGAAAGGTAAAAAGCAAAAGACATAAAGCCAAAATCAAGAAAGTTTTGCGTACCGAACGTTGGCGTTCGGTTATCCAAAGGGTAATGGACCCCTTGGAATTCGCGGCAAATGTTTTTAAGCGAATGAGAGTAAAGCGAATGGTCCGTGAAGGAGCCCCGAGCTTTTTCCTTAATTTGCTCGGCGCCGCTTGAACCAATTGAACAAACAAACGGCCATAACGATGATCGGAAACGGAGCGAAATAAACGGAGCCGAGCTAAGGAGCTCGGAGGAGCCGTTTAATGCTTTACGGAGCCTCTAAGAATTAATGTCACAGTGACAATGTCGTCGGTACGGGCGTCACCAGACAAAATTGCACATGCCCACGATGGAAGGGAAGATGCCGCGCGAGCAACGGTTCTTCTCTCGGCTCGAGTTATCGGACCCAACGAACGGCAATTTGACGTGCACCAGGCGTAGGGGGGAGAAGTGCTGGAGTTGCACAGTCCTCCAAGTGATCACGAAAGGTGGAAATGCCCGGAAGCGGTAGGTGCACCGGTAGCGCCGGTACCATGAAATTGTCAGGCGTTAACCGATGCCTGTGTGTAAAGAAGGTCGGGACGCCGCGTAATCGCCGAGCTATTTCGGAAGAAAGGCCCGATGAACGCGTAAAGTTGCTGAGAGGAAGATATCGTTGCGGATACCCCAAACAACAAGATATTGGCCTTTGAAGACGCTATGCTCGATAAATCATCTTGCTGCATTTTTTTTTTTTTTTTTTTTTTTCATTTTAGTCGAATCTCCGCGTTTTGCGATGTGTGCACTTTAAATGGAATTTTATTATTTAATCGGATCTTATTCCCGAGACAAGAATCGGAACGCGATAAGGAATAATTTGCCTAATACGTCAGCTGTATTAAAAAAAAAAATGTACATTACTATTAGATTATTAAAGTTTTCGTTATCAATGTGCAGGATTTTGTTGTTCAAGGTTAATTTCGATTTCCGTTACTAATATATCTCAAAGATCAAATACTATGCTAATGTTTTTGTAAATGAGCATTTAATTTTATTTATATCTATATTCTATATTTTACTTATTATATAATGTATAATGTCCTCTTTTCCTTTTTTATTTATACTTTTTTCTTTAAAAAAAAACAAAAAAAAAAACAAAAAAAAAAACAAAAAAAAAAACAAATATTCGCATGTAGGAGATAGTTTTTCGCCCCATCTTATCGATTAAATTATGCGAGAGTTTTTAGATTTCATTCGATTGGTATTCTATAAATGACGAATAAATGAATGATTTTATAAAATATTAGATCGAAAGTAATGTGACATTTTTTCAATTTATCGGAAAGATTCTTTAAACTATCGATTAAATTGTAATTATTTACCACGTAAACCGGTAAAAATAGTACCACGAAAACGGGCAAATAATGAGAGAAGCAAAGGTGGCCCGATAGTAAACAATTAATCGCTTATTAATTAATTTTCATATTATGCACAAAATCCTGGTAGGGTGCTGTTAATTATTTTATATTAGCGGGAAATCCTATTAAATTCGTATAATAGTAGAGTGAAATTCAATGCTCATTAATTCTGATAAGATTGCCTTTAAGATTAAACAAACTCCATTGATTTCAGTTACACCGATTAACCAATTTACTCTATTTTTGTCAATGTATTCGCGAATTTGCATCAATTATAATTTCTATTATAATCAACTGTCTTACTTCAATAAATGAAATATACAACGTTCAATAATTTTATTAGCGCTTAAAATAATTGATTATAAAAAATTGTTGTAAATCACTATTTTCTTCCAAGTAATATATAGTCACATATAGAAGAAATACATATAAAAGTAATATATATGTATATATAAAAACATGTTAGCGTTTAATATTCATACCATAAAATTTCATACCAACTGCATAAAAATCCTCTTCCATCCATGCAGGACTATTTCTATGTACTTAGTAGCAAGTTTTGTTTAATCTTTCTTAAATATTTTTCTTTATTTAATATAGTATAATGGTCATTGCAATATGGCATATTATTTTCAGAATATGTGAAAAGTTCATGTCCTTACTTAAAACAAAAACAAAAAAAATGTATGCTGCTTTTGCAGATTATTTTGACAAGTGAAGAGATAACACTAATATAAAAATTAATCTCATTATTTATATCTTGTATAAGCGCATTGTATTTATATCTCATAATCATATATTTAATAAATCATTAAGGAAAAAAAAATGAAAAAAAAAGAGGAAACCAATCTTTTCTAAACCTATATACGGCCAATTATTAATTATTCTCTGCGAATAAAATAATCTAACTTAAATATACTTAATCTAAACAGTCTGTATTATTTAATCGATCAGCTTTCGTTAATAATTATTTGAATTTCGCTCCAAAGTGACCATCCATTACTGAATTTTATATGTTTATAAACAATATTAGCAGAATTATCATTTTAAAATACTAGCATATTAAGAAAGGCTCGAACAAATTTTTAAATGACCATGATGCAATGATAATAGTGATAGATGATAATACTTAATATCGAGTATTGTGGAGATGATTACTTGTACTTGGATGTAAGGATAATGTGGTAAGAGACGATCCTTGGCTTCAACATTTCTCACGAAAATGACTTGAGACGAGTACGGATTGTTTAAAAAAGCTTTTAACATCTAATTATTAAAGGTTAAGAGTTTTCAAAGTATTGTAACAACGCACCTTTAGAAAAGAATCCATTGCGAACACGGTAGTTGAGGTCGGCGAACGTCAAATTAAGTTGATTTGTGCGCAACGGTTGGGTTGGACACTGTGGCGAGGCTTTAAGCGGCGCCTCGTTTGCGCATGTCAAATCATTTTTGCTTTGTATGGCGGCAAAATCCAGCTTTAAGTCGGCCTGGCACGTAGTCATATTTTACGGCGATTCTTTCATTAAAGTATTCATAAATATAATTGATCAATACATATACGTGTATGTATATATGCACATATACACGTATGCGTATATATACGCATATATACGTATATCTATATATATATAAAAAGTCACATTTATTACATACATACATACATACATACATACATGTATGCATAATATTAATATATTTTATCAATTCATATTTTATTTTATATATTATTCTCAATTTTCCCAAATAGATAAATAAATATATATATATATATATATATATATATATATATATATATATATATATATAAGGGCGTAGGTGTATGTGCGTGTAGTTTGTGTACGTATAGTGTATATAAGTATAGTGTATGCGTGCGTATACTGTATGCACGTGTACGCGCGCGATTATAAACTTCACACACGCATGCACATGTACGTGCATACTGCTTTCGACATCCTCGGGGCTTGTGTATGTCCCCGTAGGAAGAGCGCATTATTGTCCCGTCACTACGGTCGCGCACAAGTTCTCGACTTTGCTTTTGTATTTGCAGTCGAGTCGCTCCATACTCGCGATTAATCTCATAATAATCAGATGCGCCTAGAAAGGGCGTCATCCCTCTTTACCTATGCATTAGCCCTCTCAAAGTCCGTGTGTCGTATAAAGCGTCGGATGCGCTCTCAGCCGTAACGAGGCCCCGAGTCGCCGGCTTCGTAGCAGCACCCTTAGCCCTCGGTCGGGGAGTCACCGAGTCCTGGCAGGAGCAACGTCGATAAAGCGCCAGGGGAAGTAAAGGCCCCGAACTCCGCACTCGCTACTAATGGTCGGAGCGCAGGTTACGGACCGCAGATTGCGGCTCGCATGCGCCAGCATAATGGATAAGGGAGCCTCGGGGGTTAGGGTCGAGAGTGTCCCGGCTGGTGGATTGTTTGTCCCGGGACCGCTGCGGCTCGAGCCCGACCGGCCACCGAAAACGCCGAGTTGAAGCGAAGCTCGCGGCGATCGGGCGAACAAGTCGATCGGGGGACATGCGCGCGCCTGTCATCCGCGCGCGTCGGAGACGAGGTTCTGACTGAGCTCCGGCGGGCCGCGATTACGTTCCCCGTTGAAGCGCCGCCGGCTCTTATCGGCGCACGTGCGCAAATTCTCGAGTGGCGCGCGCGCGCGCCTCGTCGACCCGCGGGAGTCTGGCCTGATTACGACGACGACGACGACGACGACGACGCGGCGATTACCGTGGCGTCCTGGCCGATAAGCGCGACAGCGTTTCGACGGGGATCGCGAACCTTCGCCGCGACGAGGTCGTGATCTAATGAGGTCAACGGCCCGTGATCTTTGGAGCTTTTTCCAACTTGCCGGTCGGCATTAAGTGCCCGGCTGCGTGCCGTGACATATTCCCACGGAACATTTGTCGCGCGTATCCTCCCCGAATACGCGCACACGAGCTTTAACGACTCTCCGCTCTTTAACAGCAAATATTTAAGATGTCGAAGCAATTGGCAAGATTTATTTGGACTTTGTCGACTCGACGTCTACTGTTTTCGGATAGTGGGAGAAATTTTTAACGCATGCGTCTTTGAGGCTGCTTCGAGGAGAGATTAACGGTAAGTAACGCGTTATTGTTATGATGACCTCGCGAGGCGGTGGATCCTTCATTTACGGTCAACGGTCATTTTTTTCTCGTTGTTGAAAATTTTCGAGCCTGGCACTTTGATTGACGTTTGGGACATTTGCGAGAAAGTATTGTAAGAAAGCTCCATTTGCACATTTCGTAGATTCGTCCTCTATAAGTGTACTTTTGTCTTTGAGCATTATTAATTTAAAGATTACAACAACAACAATAATAACAATAATGATTATGATGATGATGATGATGATGATGATGATGATGATGATGATGATGACGACGACGACGATAATGCCGTTGTTGCTGTGTTAATAATGCGTAGTTTAAAACTTTGTGTCAATAGTGCACTGACTAATTTAGATTCTTAGTTTTAAATCACTGATCAATAAAAGATGATCGTGATATAAAATTGGAGGAAAGGCAACGAATATTCAGGATTCATCTAAACTTTAATCATTTCAATGGAATTGGCAATACTGATTTGCGTAAAAAGAGCGCGTTTAACTTTATTAATTTATACAATAAAAGTAACAAGTAGCACATTCGAAAAAACAATTTTGCACTATTCTTTTTATTTACAAGGCATGGACAACAATTTTTTTATTCTTGTACCATATGAATCTGGATATTTTTATTTAAAAAAAGAATTTTTTTTTTAAAAAAAAAAAAAAAAAAAAAAAAACAACTATTGACTACGTATTTATTTACATATTTATATAATCATAATTTCCATAAGTCTTAAAAAGAGAAAAGCTTTCTTTACGTGTTAACAAAAGCAAATTCCTATAGCATTAACAATAAATAATAAACGCACTCACGATATTACTGATGTACGACTTGTATGAATGAAATATTGTAACTACATTGAGCTTTCAGTGATTAGTAATGCTCAGCTTAAGCTAAAGCTTTCTCTCGAAATTAAACGAATTTAAGAGGATTATAAGATTGAGTTTAATTTTTTAAATGATCATATTAAATATTTGTGTCTATAATTATTTATATACTATTAATGAAAGTTTTCATTCGATTATTTAAGGAATGCAATGGACAATAGCTCATATTATTAACTCAAATAGAAAAATTAATAGCCATTGGCTTTAGTGCATAATCTGATACTTTCATTTCACTATCATGAACAATGGTTAAAAAATCTTTGTTATGCTACCCAAATATCGTGGAATGATAGTCTTTCGATAACGATATTAATGATAATAATTGAATTAAGTATTGTATAATAGATAGTACATATGTATTAAGACTTAATATTAATATCTAATGAAATTTATAAAATTACAACGTATTAATAGATTAATAATGGGAAATAATTCGTGGGATAAGACAATACCTCGTTTTTATGTTAACTCGGTGAAATTATTATGGATAAATGTCTTGTAAATTAAATTTATTGTAAATTAAAACTATGCCGATAAGTATTTATAATTAAATTAGTATTTCGACGTAAAAATTTATCGCTTAACGTATGAAAATATGTATACCTGCCTAGTGATTTATAGTGCGAATATAGGGAAATATAGGTGCTCGGGCAAGAAAGTCGAAGAAGAAGAGAAAAAAAGGAGGGGGAGGGTGAATTGAAAACCAGCGAATCCCGTTAAGGCTTTTGTATTCGCGTAAATGTTTATTGACATTCCGATGAATTATGTCATTGTCGGCTTTTTTTTCTTCTTGTTGTTGTTGTTTTCTTTTTTTTTCTTCTTTTTTTCTGCATCGATCCATCTCGTCGCTCCGTCTCATGCCATTGAAAGCCCAACAGTTGCACTTCCTATTCAGATGCTTATTTCTCACGTCATTAGCAAGTTTTTTATTTTTTTATTTTTTATTTTTTATTTATAATTATTATTTTCACAAAAGTATGATTCATTCTGCGCTTCTTCTTCCAATCCGAGCAAACAGCGAGTAGAGCACTGACGCAAACGATCGATACACAAGTACGTAAAAAATATCGAGCGTAAAAAAATCTATGTATAATTGTGGAATCGGACTTTTTAAATCGCGTTGAATTCCTAAGCTCCAGCCACCAAGTAATTACACTTATTATCGATCCCAAGGACTGCGATCGGATTATCAAGGGGATGCCTTTATTAAGCCGTGGATCGATATCTCTTTGCCCAAATCTCAAAGCTTTCAGAAAAAAGACGATGAAATGCAGGGGTCACGCATTCGCGTAGACGTTTAATCGTCTACCCGTCGTCTATCGCTCATATTTTGCAAAGTCGTGCAATTCTTATAAAAGATCGTGTATCCTCTCCATCGATCCGATTAACAATGATTTTTCACGTTGTTTGTGTAAGCCATCGCCATATCGTAAGCCTCGATCTTACGAGACCGAGACGAAGAATGTAGATAGAGATAGTTGATTCTCCATAAGCGTGTATTAGAATAGCCTCGAGAGTTAGCGCGAGAAAGCTTTCATCTCTTCAACTTCACTCAACTCTCGAATAATTTTCTCCTCACGGTCGGACACTAGTCGCGCGCGATAAATATTCACCATCGTGCAAGCATTCGTTTACTGCCTCTAATCGTCGCTATCAGGTCGAAAGCACGTGACGCTGCACTCGACGCGACGGCTGAACAATGTCGGTCAACTTACCTGCAGCTTTATATCAATTGTTCGTAATTTTTTAGGTTTTAAGACGAGCAAGGCAGAGAGATGAATAAGCTATTTCATGGTAGCCCTGTCGTTCCCGAATTTTCGTATTTGCATAAACGCGATTAATACGCTGGGTTATTCGGTTATTCGGTATCGGCGATCGACATTGCTCGGGCCCTTAGGTAAGTCGGCGATAACGCACTCGTTGCTGCTGTCGCAAATGCTAATTGTCAATGGCGAATGGCGGATGTGTTGGTAGGTGAGTGAGAAGTAGAGGTAGCGAGCGCCCTTGCTGATTCAGGCTGCAAAGTTTTGTCGTAGAAGCGAATCGCGTGACAAATTGTGGCCACTCATGGCCTTGGTAGCTGAAAATTTAACGGGGTAAGATAATTATTCGAGATCGCGACTCGACCAATCAGCGGAAGCCGGCGGTAGGGGTCAGTGACTCGTCGCTGCCAACGATGAACGAGCGTTTCCCGAGTCATCCGGTGTCTCTCATGCTCCGTAAGCTTATTATTATTATTATTATGTTTATATGCGTATGTGGCAGTTTAAAGATGACATCTTTTCTGTGCGTGCGTGTGCGTGCGTGTGCGTGCGTGTGCGTGTGCGTGTTATAATTGAGTCGTGGGTGATGAAGGCAGGCTATTCTCCGTATAAATTTTGACGCTTAAGTATGCATATTTAGGGAGATTGAAGATTCTCAGCTGATTAATGTTGCGTGGAAAAATAATTTATTGAGATTACATATAAAGCTTTATTAATCAAGTACGTAGAATACGAAGTACATTATATGAATTCCTAGCCAACGTATAAATCCTTATCGCTTTATTATTAAAAGTCAGAGGCAACTTTACGTATGCAAAGTGCGCTCAAACGAATTCATTAGCAATTACTCTTATATGTTACATGTTGAGCTATGCCGCTTACATCGTTCGCAATTGTTCAAGTATCACGATCACATTCGACAATTATTTATTCGGCTTTCGTAAGCATTTTATATCAGATTAATTCTCGCTGAATAAAATGAAGGAAAAGGAAGGTCGTCGGACAATAGTCTTTTCATCTCCGGCAAAAAGCATATAAAATATATCCACACGTTTTTATACGTATAATACGTACATGATCGAGAAGATATTGTTTTACTCATAACGCACAGACGTGGATAATAATACGAAAGATGTTAGATACGTCATCTACAGACTCATTCAGCTCATAATAGTGGCGCTCGCGAGCTTAACATCGAGATTAATCGATGAATCGGCCTTTTTCTAGCAACAATGCTCACCCTCCACTTTATACGTTAAAACAAGCACTTGGAATTTTCATGACATGTGAAATTTCCAATTTCAACCCTACATTCCGAGGGTAATTATTTTTGGCTTAACGTGAACATTTCATATTGTTGATAGTGTGCTTCGGGTCTATCGATATAATAATATTACACGGAGATCAGTTTCTCTATCGAATAAATAAAAGCTCGTTAAGAATAGTGTTATTTTGCTTAAGTTTTTTCTATTATTCCCATTAAATGGTACGTAATAATCGACTTAAACCTGAATTTTCTGATTCGTAAGACACGGCCACGTCTATTTTCATAACTCTTAGCGATACTAATTACCTATCCGAGTGTAAAACAATAACAACAAGTACAACACTGCGTGTACTCGTTCGCGAGTCCACGTCAGCAGAGAAGGACAATTTTGCCGCGCGTCAACATCCCCGACATTTTTACTCTCACGCACGTAAATATATTCTTACATTCGTCAAAATATTATCAAGGTACACATTCGTATGTGTACACGTGCGCACGCGCTTGTGATCTTTCATCTTAAAAGCACTTAACACCGGCTGAATTAATTGAATTAATACGGACACACGTCTTTTCGTTCGTTATTTTTTTCTCTTCTTTTTGTTGTTTTTTGTTATTTTCTTGTTTCATAACAATATTAAAATTTCGAGGAATTATAAGTAGAATTAAAATTAGATCATTCGTGCGATCCTTGAAATTAAATTAAGCTACGAGACTAGTGCTTTTCGCAAATATAACAGTTGACTTAGAGCATTTACTCGGATAATTTTTAAACATAAGCATCATCCTTACCTACGTGTAAGTCTATCGTTTTCCGCGAAATTATTATTATTACATCTCTTATTATAAAATAATTTGCTCCCAACTGCAACTCAAAGTACAACAACAACAACAACAATAATAATAATAATAATAATAATAATAATAATAATAACAATAATGAATAAGAGGAGGAAGATAAAAATAAGCAAAACAAAATCGAATAAAAGTAATTTCAGAAGCTTTTGCAGAAAAATGAATGGATCTTAATTGCAAAAGTTATTTTGAAATTTGTTTGAAATACTGGATCACTGCTAATGGCGCAAAATCGAAGATACAGATTTTTTTTCTTTCTTTTTTTTTTTTTAATAAACATTTGGATTCATTTGAATTTTAATGTCGAACTTTATTATTATAATACCGACGCCTTTTTACGTTTGTGCTTTAAGAAATAGCCAAGCTTACAGAAAAATATTTCACCAGCCAATTGGACAATTGTTAAAAGCGTTTACTGCAGACAGAAACATTTTGATGTTCTTCAGCCGAAATATCTGATTTCCTTAATATTTAAGTTATATTAAGTTATATTAGCATTAGCATCCTAAACAAAAATGTATACACGTTTTTATATGTATATATATATATATATATATATATACAGTGCTTATGCATGTGCGCGGAAGTAAATAATTACAGCATTAGCGCATTGCGTCGCTATGTATAAGTTAAGCCACCGTAGAAAATGCGTCTCTTTGTCTTTGATTTGAGTTGAGTTACAATTATACAAAAAAGATATTAATCTGAGAAAATATTTGTCTGAGATAATATTTATTCATTATCTTTGATTAAACGAAATCGCTTTAACACTTCGGAGAGGGCGTATCATAAAATGATAATTTACAAGGTAAACAAGCACTATATTACAGATAATAAAAATTTTTTAAAAAATGCGCCCTTCCTCCGACTTCACTATATAGTTGTTTAATTTGCAAATGCATTGTTTGCATTCGACGTTCCGCGCAATCGGCAACAAATCGCCATCGACAATATTGTCTCATCTCCGGAGCACTCGAGCTCGATCTGTACGTGCGCGTGCGCGTAAGTGTATAAGTGGGTATGTGTGGCTGCGCGTGGGCACGTGCGTTAATTTCAGGGCGGTGGAGTGGTGGGGAGGGAGGGCGGGGGGGGGGGGGGTAAAACTAAGCAAGTGTCCTCCGGGCAACTAAGACATCGTTGTCCGATTATTAACCTGGATCAGCAGGTAATCTTATCGGCGATTGAGCTTGCACCAGAGTGCGCTCGCGGTAAGTAGATGCATGAGTACGCCGATGCCGACGATCATGGCGAGATTGTCAAGGACGTTCGTATTGACGATCTCCATCTCCTTGAGAAACTGCGTCGGCTGCATGTAGTGGCAGTAGGTGAGTTCGCCAGGCTCCTGCTCGCAGTAGAGGTTCGTCCGATTATTACCGTAGACGGTCAGCAAGAGACTGTGGAAGCTCGCCCGGAAGTACGATATGTGGAATATCCAGCGGAAATAGGTGGGCGTGTCCATGTACCGTATGCAGAAGCCGAAGACAGAGAAAAGAACGGCGATAATGGGGCCAACGAACACTGCGATCTGGACATGAGAAACGTCATGGGTAAAGTAAGAATTACCGATCTATAGTTGTTTGGCGTCCTCCTGTTATCGGATGGAGTTCACATTGGCCGAGAAGCGCGCGCTTAACAAAACAAAATCCATCTCCGTCGCACGACCAGCCGCTCTTGAGCATTTGAAGCTCGGCGGTGGATTTAAAGTGGAGTTGCGCAACGAGAGATGGATGCTGTTTCCGCGGTCGATAGCAATAACCAAACGAGCGGAGCTCGCACGGACATACGCACCTTCACCGGAGTCGTGGCACCGATGAAAAAGCCCCAGGCTTGGGCACAGAGGCTGGCTGCGATGCTCACTATCATGAACATGAGGATGCGCTCCGCCTCGACCGGCTGCCCCGTTAGCCAGTAGCTGACCGCCAGGTAAGTGGCTGCGCAGGCCGCTTGGAACGGCACCTCGATCAGCAGGATGCTGATGTAGTAGGGTGCAAGACCGTACCAGCGGTTAAAGTGCTCTCGGGTCAGGATTTGCATTTCTAGCGGGACTGCCATTTCCAAAAAAGAGGGAAAAAAAAATATTCATGAGCCACGATCTGCGGATTATTTTGCATTATCGCGGCTTAGTTAGTCTAACCCATCGCCCCCTCTCTCTCTCTCTCTCTCTCTCTCTCTCTCTCTCTCTCTCTCACTCACTCTCACTCACTCTCACTCACTCTCACTCACTCTTTAACGAGGGAACAGTGTCTCATTATCGTTCAGTCAGAGTTTCTTGTGTACCGACATTGCTACAGTGATTCCTTTTTTATCCGTACTAAACCTTTGTCTATATATATATATATATATATATATATATATATGAATTGATGAAGCGCCTTGCGTAATTTGTAATTTACTGGGCGCCGCACTTATTAAATATTAATATTATTATTATAATTATTATTCAATTCAACACAATTGAATTGCTCAACGCAAATATGACGTTCAAACATAATTGAGCGAGTCTGTCCAAACTGCTTTTGTTAAAATGAAAGATGCCTAATGATAAGGCAGGCAATGGTTATAATAATAATGGCTCCATTATCAATTGCGTGTCCAGCAACGTATGACTCGTTACATTATTAAACTGTTCGATTACACGCCGATTGGAATGCCAGTGCTGATAAAAGAGAAATCTCGGCCGATACGACAGGCCACTATATTACCGATCGATTCACGAATCCATTCGAATTAACGATTGAATAATAAGCTCCCATTTCCGGATATTCCGTATGAAGATGTTGAACGTGAATTAGCGAATGATTATAAACAAGTACATTAACAGTACCTTAAATATTGATCAAGAACAATAGTCATTTGGAAAATTGCAAATCCTTAATATGGCACTTATTAACTTTGTCAATCTGCCGTTTGTTCAATGAATAGCAAAAGGTTAAACATGAAACGATCCCCTGTGACGTAAGTGTAAGCTCGTAATGTAATTGTAATTGGTAATCGATGGCGGTACTCTATTCTCTCTCTCACTCTCTCTCTCTCTCACTCACTCTCACTCTCTCTCTCACTCTCTCTCTCTCTCTCTCTCTCTCTCTCTCTCGGTTGATAAAGCAGTACGATCGTCGATTACAGTGTCGCTGTAATGAAGCGAGCGGAACAAATAATTAAATGTTGAGAAAACCGACACGGTAATTTGAATAGCACCCGGTAGCCAATTTTCCGTTCATCGCGGCTCAACGATGAATGAAGAATTTCAGCTTAAAAAGCACTGTCCCGCCTTTGAACACTCGATGATGAAAACATCGTAAAGCTTTTTTCGCATACGCACTCCGAAACCTTAACGTCCGTTAATGATTATTTGCGGCGAGTAATAATCCTGCCCGAGGTGATGACGAGGTCGCAGGCGTATCCGTTATGAATGACCCCGGCAGTAAGAAACAAAATGACGTGTAAATTTGGGAATCGCAGGCTCGCAGCTACGAAATATTTGTTAAGTCTCGATAGCGTAAAACTGCTAAACTAACTTAAAAAACAATAACTTAAAAGAGAAAGAAAAAAAAGGAAGCTCGCTCTCACATGCCAACGTAACGGCCATCTTGCCGGTGTAGACGATGAGCAGGAGGGAGCCATACAGGTAGACATAATTGGCGAGGACGCCGTTGGCCCTGTAGCCGCTGCCCATGTACAGGTAGCCGAATATGATGCCGATGAGGAGGTGACAGAGCAGCCGCACCACCAGCAGGAAGTAGTCGCGCTTGAGACTCACCAGCTGACGCTTGTAGAGGAGATAGCATTGGGCGAGGAAACCCGCGGGTGGCGGAGACTCGTCGAAAAAACTACTGTCCTCCTCCTTTTCCTTCTTCTTCTCCTTCTTCTTCGTCTTCTTCTTCTTCATCTTCTTCTCCTCCTCATGACCCTCCTCGTCATCCTCCTCGTTCTCATCGTCCTCTTCCTCCTCCTCCTCCTCCTCCTCCTCCTCGCCCGCCCCCACCACAGCCAGCGCCTGTCTTCCGCTACCTACGAACATTATTAGGGGTCGTTATTAGGTTCGCGCCCTTAGCGATTATTGGCGATTGAGAAAGCAATTGTCTGCGATTAATCTAGGCAATCCGAATTATACGATCGCCATCCTTCTTTACATGGAGATAATTAAAGGAAGAACGTCGTTTCGTCGATCAAGCAAGATTAAGCAAAATTAAGAGCGATTATACGGGAAATAAAAATAAGCGAAATTAACAAAACAAAAAAAAAAAAAAAAAAAAAAAAAAAAAACAAGCAAACAAACAATAAAAAATATTTTCTAAAGCCAAGATTAAATATAAAGACGACAAATAAAGTCGATGATACTCGTTGTACGCGAGTGATATTTGCCTCCTTTAACTGGATTTACCCAGCTGCTTTTCTCGCATAATTATCCTTGGTATTTTGTCCGAGCACTCATCTCTTAACATGCGATTATCATTGTGATTACATTGTGTTTCACGCAACGCCGAGAGTCCCAGCAACCAATCGACGTCCCACCCCCGCGTGCCCCCGTATCCCATATGGAGATCCCATAAGAAAGCAATATATCATAGACCTTTGGCAGTAACTAACCTTGGAAGGTGGCTTTGACGGGGTCGGCAATCATCTTCCGATTCCTGTAAGAATTGTCGATCGCCGAGATGAGTTTGTCCGTGGAGATGCCGTATTCGCCGATGGCGACCTCTAAGACTGCAAAGAGCAAGAGATATTCATTAGCGATCGATGGGCGCGTTTAAAGCGGCCTTAGTCAGCGGGATTAGCCTCGCGATCGATAGGTAGTAATGTCGCTCAATAATCCTTGGGTCCCTTCCACGTGGACCAGTGAGACATGGATGAACTTACGGAAGTCGGCGGGGTTGTGGTAGGCCGGGCACTGGAGCCCCAGAGCGGCGAGGTGGGCTACGAGGTCGGATACCGGACCCCGGTAGATGCAGTGGCCGTCGGCGAGGGCGTAGAGCGAGTCGAACATCTCGAACTGCAAGGCGCTCGGCTGGTGGATGGTGCATACGACGGTGCGTCGCTCGATGCGGGCGAGCCGCTGGAGCAGGGCAATGCATTGGCTGCAGGAGGCCGAGTCCAGGCCTGAGAGAAGGAAGGTAGGACGGTTTTGAGCGAGGCCGAGGTCCGTTGGAATCGAGGGAGAGACATACTTACCGGTCGTCGGCTCGTCTAAAAATAATACTGAAGGATTGCTAAGTAGTTCTAAAGCGACGTCGAGCCGCTTTTTCTGTCCGCCGGAAAGTTTTCCACACAGAGTATCGTAACAGTGACTTAAACCTAGGATTTCTAAGAGCTCGAGAACCTGAAAGAGGCGAAATGTCGTCAAAGAGTGAAATTTTAGTTGAGAGCCTTAAGAGTAAGATGTTATTATGTAATGATCATTGCTATTGTTGCTACTAAGGTTGTTGTTTTATGGTTATTTTCTATTTTTTTTTTTTTTTTTTTTTCTTATTTTTCCCTGGCCATAAGTGTTGAAAAGCTTGGGTATTATGGGTTTTGTGCATTGGCTGTATGATTTTGCCGAATGATTTTGCCGAATGATTTTGCCGAATGATTTTCCCAATACGATACGATTGTCCTTGGAAACGAATGCGTGAAGCCTTCAGGCAATTCTGATTATCCTTCTTTTTTTTCATTTCATTCTTTATTTCTTTTCATTTCGGTTCTTTTCTTGTTATTGTCTTGTTTAACTTTAAACTTTGAACGATAAGAACAGATGATTAAAGAAAAAACAAACGACAAATGATAGGATTGTAGGCCATGCGTAAGTAGTAAAATAAGACGTAGATTGTGTTTATGGCTAGTGGTATCCTTCAACAATTATTTTTTGGTGGATATATTTCAGCCAAGCCTTTGAAGAATTTGAAGTTGGAGATAAATTTGTAAGTAATAATGTTAAATTAAATTACATCGGACCTATAAATTTTAAAACTTATTCCCATAAATATTTATTGGCGATTAAATAACCTTATAATACATACACACGGAAAGTACATTTATTAATTTATCAATATTAATGCAAAGGTCGATTAATACAGTATAGGAAAATGAATTTATTCCTATTATTATTTACCCCTTGGTGCTTGTTACTAATATTGCCTCTTTAATCCTCAATAAGAATTGCAGATATTAATAATTATTCCTCCACATCGGTATTAACGAGTCCATTGAAATTGAGCTAAATTTCAAAATTCCAATTATGACAGGATACTTACCTATTATTTTTAGAAATTTTTCATTATTACGTATACTTGTGGAAGACGATGATAAAGCTTTCTACGGGTGAAAGTTCGCTTATCATAACCATCGTAGCAGAGAAATTAGTACTGCATAATAAACAAAGACGCTAAATCAAACTTTTCCTTAACAAGCAATCGATCAAATTACAAGGAGAGAACTCTTCGGGTAACACTCGACCAGCGCCATTTTAATGCTAAAGAGCACAATGATCATTCATTCAGAGGAATAAACAAAAATTAATTACCCTCTATCGAAGAAAAACTAATTTAAATAGTCGCGATAATAATAATTCAGAATGTAATTATTATTCAGAATACAATTATAAGAGTCTATAGGTTTTTTTTTCTTTCTATTAGTCCCAATGGATTTACAAGAACAATTTAATCGAGAATTTTTATATAAATTTTACGGTTTTCTCCATTTTTGCAAATTATTTTTTGCAACTTATCAATAAAAAGATGACGTACGTGCTAAATACATAATAATAACCACGCGCTCTCGCCACAAACTTCGTAACGTAAGATTTTAGGTAAAACAGCGATATATTTCAATGCACACGATGTCGCAAAGAAGACATTTATTTTTCATATAAGTAAGGAGAAGGTAATGCAATGTTTGCCGATCATACATGACGTAAGATGAAATTGCGTTTCGCTTGAAATTACGTTTGCTCACGAAGGAGATGCAAGAGGTCTGACGTGCACGAGTATTATCAGATCCGATCGAAACTTTGTGCCTCGAGGCGCGTCTTATCTCAACTTAATAATTACAATATCCACGCAACACTCGAATAATCTCCTATTAGACGAGAAATTTTCTTTACGAGAAAAGCCCCCTCGATAAGCATACGACATGCAATTTTACCATTTCATCATATTTAAAAAAACCATAGTGAGAAAGTCCTTAAAAAAAAAAAAAAATAGCAAAGCCCCAGCGAGCAGTTAAGATATTGCGGAAAAGCCGGAAAAACGGGGAACCCTTTTACCCCTGCACAGGGTCACGAATGACAAACTCTTGCCCTCGGCTGCGTTTCACCGGGACTCGGTTGACACGTTCTTCTTGCACCTTTTCTCCAACTGGGATTTCGCAATGGCAGTTGACCGAACGATAATACAAGCTCTTCGTGCGCTTGCGAATTCGGTTGTTGACACTATTGCGTCGCTCTTTGCACACTGTTGCGCAACAATTTGCAAGGACCCGAGGATCGCTAGACGCACGCTTTACTACGAGCGAGTTGAGGGGTCGAGAGCTAGGACCTGGAGCGAAAAAGCGCATTAGTTTTATCTCCCGAGTGGAAGGTGGACGATGGAGCTTCAAAGGAGCGGCCAATGAACCGTTCGACATAAATCAAAAGTAACGAGTATAAACGGGAGGTGAGTGAAAATCTTGCAAAGTGCCTTGTCAAATGTTGGACTATGCGCTATGCGTACGTGTAAGATGTGTTGACAACTGCGAAGAAGCTGAAGTAGACGAAGAAATCATTGCGTTGATAGAAGTAATGTCTTGTCCTTAAAGGAAGACTTTTCGTTAATTAAAAAGAGTAGCCACGACATGGCTTATTGGATGAACATCGGCAAGTAGAATTACGAATGACTCAATCTAAGCTGGCACGTTCTGTCCATTCTCATCGATAATGCCCGATGATCAAGGTCAATGATAACAAATTCATTTTACAATGTGAGATTCACGCGCGCATTAGTGATTACGTCTATGCTCGTAAACCAAAAGGTGTAATTTAACGATCAACGAGAAATGGACTAAGTGGCCGAATAATCGCCAACCTCGAGGAATTTAATTCATCATCGGTGTTGTGAATCGGACTTGTAAAAAACGTGACGTCCAGCCCATTTGCCAATTATCATTCAATGCGAATAATCGCACTTTCTTCTTAATCGTCTCGTACGAGCAGTTTCGTGAAATTGCAAATAAGAATGCATTAATTAAAGTAGGCCGATGGGTATTCGTACGCGCGTAGTGGCAAACAATTAATGACAATTACTGCTAACTAACGACATACGGAATAGCAAATAATCATCAACATGACACGAACGAGATCATTTTTCTCGGACAGCTGTATTGCCGTTAAATGTAATATAACGGCAATTAAAATTACGAGAGGCATGCGTCCAATGACTTTTTATCCAAACTATCCCCCCAAGGATATAATAAACCAATCCTCCACTCTCCGACGTCTTGCATCACTTTTTCTCGATGGTCGTAATAGCAAAGAAAAGCAGTACAAGCCATTAGTCGTTAATCACTGCTAATCCAATGTTGCGCTGCATAATGCGAGAAGAGCTTGCTCGACTTATTCTGAAATTATTCCACAAAATCTTTGGCGAATGATCATTGATATCGATATCGTTTAAAAACTTTAGAAAAACCATTTATATAATCTTCGTATATTCAATTATCAATCGCGCATGATCATTAAGCTCGATTATCAGTGATAATAGTCAAATGCTGGTACAACGAGCCTAATTCTAAATCGATCTAAGTGAAAAAGAGATGCAATAAATTTGAGAAAGGAGACACGTAGAGCTCGGCCATCTCGCTAAACGAATGTCGAGTCTCGACTCACCTGCGTGTGCTTGAAGGCCGAGCTGATGGTGCAGCCGAGCTTCAGGTGGGCCGCGAGGTTCATGGCCTCGCCAACGGTGAGCCTGGGCCGTTGCACCGAATACTGCTGTATGTAGCACGAGGTGCGACGCCAAGCCTCCGCGTGCGGTATCCGCGTCTTCCCGTTCACCAGGATCTCGCCCTTCATGCCCTGCACCCTGCAACAAGAGCGTTCGGCTTTTAACGCCCGACTCTACTACTATATATATATATATATATATATATATATATATATATATATGCCATAGTGCAATACGGTTTTAATGTCTTATCTCGTCAAATTATGACCTACTTAGAGCTAATGTCAATATTTTTTGCTTAGCGCTCAATCAATCCATCCAGGATGCTAGCAACTAGAATCACTCAAATCTCTTACGCCACGCGGCTATGCGCGAATTAAACCTTTAAAGAGCAAAGCGTTAAGTATGATTATTATTATTATTATTATTATTATTATTATTATTATTATTATTATTATTTGCCAACGTCGACGAATGATGTATTTGCCAACGAGACGGTTATTATTGTAAGGCAATTTCAGGAAACGAATGTGAAGTTAGTTGAGAAAATCGACACTCGTATAGGTGAGCAATTTATTTGGTTGATGCAACAACGATCGATGCAATGCATTCACAATTTTTTAAAGTACAAATTTTGTTGTTAAAGCAATGGAAAACCAAATACCTTGGAGCTTTACGATTTCTGTTTTGCTCCTGATGGTATGAATGGCTCGGAAGAACTTTTAAGAAAGCGAAATTTATCCCCAATTAACGAGTTGAATTTTAAATAATTATTATAAGCTTATTTAACTTTCGTTCGTGATTATCATTTATATATATATATATATATATATATATATATATATATTATTATTATTATCGTCGTATGCCGTTGGTGCGTTAACGCGAGTGGCGTTCCCGAGATTGCAGGAGGAAAAAAGAATGTTTGCACGAGGTGAGGGCCATTGCTTGTTCCAATGAGCCTTCAACTTGACAATTTTCCAATACCTAATGATCCCTTTGTTTCCAAAAATGCAAAGTTATAGTTTTTTTTTTTTATCTTTACTCGCGCGGCACTCGCATTGCGCATTGCTCGCGCGAAGAGATGGATAATGCACGCGCGCGAGAAAAGTATTGGGTGTGTGCGTGCGGCCTTTCGCGAATTCGGGACTCGACGTTAAGCAGCCGGGGACAGTTCTCGCTTTAGTTTATGCACATTTTTTAACAATGACTCGATGATATTGCTCTTTACTTGAAAAGTCGGTAGGCTCGCAAAATAAGATTGCAATTGAAATTGAACGAACTGATTTTCGAGTGAGGAAACGGGAAGAATTGTTGCCAAAATCGCTAATGATAATACAAGCTTACGATAACTTAAACATTGATTGTATTATTACGAAGGCTTAAAATTATTGACCTTGCCATTCATTTATAGGCGAGTGATTGACCTTTAAAGTTTGACCGTCTTTCAAAATACGTGAAATGGATGAAACAAGAAGAAGAAGAAGAAGAAGAAGAAGAAAATACAGAGGAGATACTGACAATCACTGGGGCGCAAATCACAAGCTAAAAACACTTGCCACGAGCAATGAAAAATATACATTTTAAAAGGATACGGAAAAATGTGGCTCACACAACAATCGGGCATTCGTAGGCGAGAACAATAAAGCATCAAACATTTTTTTTTATTCATCCTTTTGCGGTATTACCTAAGCGTCGGTGTTCTCTAAGTAAGCCAATCGCTAATTATTCCATGTATAGTCTCGTCGGCCTTGCCGGTCAGTCAACGTCGTGTTAAAATCCGCGCGCTATACCTTTTCAAGTAAGTTTTTCTCATTCCATTCTCGTGCTTCTTCAGATTTACCATTGGCAGTTAACAACCATTTTATCAAATGAAAAAAAATAAAGGAAAAAGAAAAAGGAGAGAAAAAGGCCAACTAAGCAGAACTTGGTTGGCTCTCTTGAATTTTTAACGCAATTAAATTTAAATTAGCTAGGGCAACGTCACCGAAGTTTCAATAATAAACTGTCAAACTCTATTCAAACCATCGACCACATAATGCCTGGATAATTAATGGATTTTACAGCAGGCTTACATTTGCAATAAAATTTCAACAATGACATTTGCAAATTATAAATATTGCTATTTATTTATCGATGGTCTATTTTCTTATCCGGTCCTTAATTCCTATTAAAAGCAATTTAACGCAATAATAAAAAAGTATTTCGATTAAACAAATACAACGAATGTATACTACTTTCTTAATTAATGAAGCAATTGTCTTTAAACGGTCATTTCATTAAAATGTGAATGTAAATATACGATAAGGCGGCTGTATGAATTATAAATGGGAAAAGGTGCAACGTCGTGTAAAGACTTTATTTACACGACTACGTTTCGCAATACAGGCCGCGATTACTAATAAATCGCATAATTAACATATTATAGCTGCGAATGGCTCTGGTGCTACGAAGCAATGATAAATTAAGAAGAATAGTCAAAGGCCCGACGATTAATTTTAAATGCAAAATATCGAATAGTGAAATTAGAAAGATCGGAGCGCTCGTCACTGGGGCACTATTACAAGTAAATAAAATAAAATAAAAAAAAAAAAAAAAAAAAAAAAAAAAAAAAAAAAAAAAAAAAAAAAAAAAAAAAAAAAAAAAAAGACTCGCTCCGCTTTTTCTCTCTCGCATTCGCCCCAAGCAGTCGCTACAGGATGCTCGAATTCGCCTATCCAGCCTATAAATATCTCGTAACACTGACACACAGAGAGAGAGAGAGAGAGAGAGAGAGAATAATTTTTAGTGGAACATTGAAAGAAAGAGGCTGAGAGAACGAGGGACGAGGGAACACGTGACCTGCCCTATTGCTGTTACTCCAGCATCGCCTTACGATTTTGTAGTCTAGTTTAGCTAGCTGAAAATTATCCTTGTAAGGAGGCGACGGGTTTTTCTTTTTTTTTCTTCAATTATCTCTCTGACACATATCGGCTAGCTCTCGTAAATTATACAACTTTCTTATGTACGATCTTCCCGCTTTTACCTCATGAATGGCGATACGTTTATTTTATTTATTAGGAGCAGCCGATCGCACGTGTATTCATTCGTACAGCCATTTCCTTATTTCCTTTCATTATCATAATCACTCGGCTTATCGATACTCTTGTCGAACGGATTATAAACGATGCCTGTCCCGATATTATTTCATATAACACAATACAATTTCCCAGCCATTCTAAAAGGCAAATAAAAGCCAATACCACGGCATCTTTGATTTCGACACTCGATCGGCAATGATAGGAATTTTTTTTTTAAATCCTACGATAATCAAGAATAAGATAAATGCGCCGATCAATGGCTTTGATTGACTGTAATTGATTAACGATACGGCAAACTAGAGATGCTAATAATATCCGTGTACGACAGCACGTAGTTTCGAATACCTTCCAAGTAAGTATATATATGCAAAGAACAAACAAAAAATGAAAGTTGTAGCAGATCGAGTTGCGAATTTACAATTTCACTTGTGCGTTAAGACCGCAAAACCTCATAACTTTCGTGAAACCGGCTAAACAATCGCAGCTCTCTATATGTAATTTTTATTTCGCAAACTTCACAAACGTTTCATTATACATTCGGCGAGAATGAAATAAAAACTTATTAACGTAACCGAATGACAAACGCTACCCTGATTATTACATATTCTACGTTCATTTATCTCTAATTCCAAGACTCGGCTATTCAACAATTTCACAATTGCATTTTTACATTTTCTCTTTCGCAGCATTGCCAAGAAAGAAATTTGCATCTATGCTATTGTATAGGTTGACGAATAATATTTGATTATTCCAATGAGACGATTGGCAGCCTCACTCCTTATGAGAACACCATGCGCATTATAAGAAAGGTTATTTAAATAGAAAAACCATTAGCTGCGCATACAGGCTCTTTCACCTAGCGATAATAAAGTAAAAGATAGAATTTTTTTTTTTTTCATTGACCGTCAGTGGCCTCGTAATATGCACTAATGCCAGATTAAACGAGAATGTTCAGTACATTCCGTGAGCCATAAACTAAAAAGGCGAGTTTGTCCTATGACTTAGCAGACGGTGGGAATGGAATTATAAGCCGCGTCATAAGTCGAATATCATAGGCGCATATCCTTTGGCCGATATTTATCATGAAATTTCACTTTGCGGCGCGGCCTCAAGAGTCCAAGGAGCGACAAAAGGAACGAATAATAATAAAACCGACGTATTACACGAGGGCGACTCGTCCTTTGCCATTCGCCATTCATATATCGGCGCTTTAACGTCTACTTTTATATGGACTTGCTTATTTATTTATATAAATTAAAATTTCACGAATATTATGCATCAGGTGGAAATAAATACGGATAATAGGGGCGCGTATAATTCGGTGTATAGAATATTATTGGGAAAGAAACAAAAAAATTTGGCCAAGACGTTGCATTCGACGAGAAATATTATCCGACTCGCTTAATCGTAATTTTTATAAGTAATTTTTATGCTTCGATTCGTGTTCACTAATATATATTTATAAAATTGTTTTAAAATGGCTAATGTGCATAAAGGAAAATGTTTAATAAGAGTTAAATACTCGACACTAGTATCACTGAATTGAGCGAGGAATTTGATAAATTTAAGAACAAACGTACATGTCGCGCGTGGAAAAAGTAAGGAGACGAGCGATCAACATCCACAAGACAAATTTTTGCCAAATTCTCATAAGGACCGGATTCAGCCAAAGTCCATGCCAGTCCACGTCAAAACCAACTGATGTTGGTTGTCGCCAAACTTACGGGCTTCCCTTACCAATAACAGCTTCGGAATTCGGAAGTATGCCAAGTTGGGAAAATGCAAGCATCCGGAGAATTGAGAAATCGACAAAGCTGACTTACGTGTATCCAGCGAGGAGGTTGAGGAGCGTCGACTTCCCGGCTCCCGATGGACCCATAATCGCGGTGAGTTCTCCGGCGCGAAATTCCCCGCTGACGCTGTGGAGGATTTCGTTCGTCACTGTAAGCAAAGCCAGCAAAAGTATGTGAATGTGGTGAAAAAAGTGAAATCGTCTCGCGTATTTGGAATGGATACGTGATTCGTATCTTAAACGGGGATCATAGAGAGGAGAGAACATGTTTGCCGACACCGTCGGAGCAACAGCATCACACACACACTCGTCTTTCTTTTTGCCTCGAGTTTGCTTCTTTCTTTTTTGCGAGCACAAGGCGCCGTTCGGACAAGATGAAATATAGTTATGCAAAGACCCTCGTTAAGCCCTCTGTCGCCTGAATCAATTGTTTTTATATTCAGCGACATTATAAAAACGAGTGTACATAGCATTCGGAGCCTAGTACTGACGGTATATATATATATATATATATATTGCACATATAAGGATGACATTGCAGTTGATTATATTGTCGTAAACTAAAACTACAGCTAAGACTTTTCCTCATTTGCATAACAGCGTGTGTCACTTACACATATACGAGAAACGCATGTGATTTTTGTTGCACGCCCGACTTTATCCTCCTTCCTTTATTCTCATTACTTGACAATTCTGTCATATTTTCAAAACCATACAACTGTACGTTATTTTAATTATCTTAACTAAATACTAATTGAACAATAAAATATATTCGATCATCCCATTTATCATTAAAATCAAGGCACATTAGTCTCTCGAGTGTTATCTGCGGTGGTCATTGTGAAACGTATATTTTTCATTATTTAAAGCGAAATAAAGCATTGTTATCTTATTTTTATCGTCATTAGAATTGATTTCTAAGCTTAGCTCTTCATAATGAAAAAAACAACTCGAGGCCCTTGAAACTCAGTAATAAAGTAATTATAAAGACCACGTTTAATATATTTTTTTTTTCTCTCTCTTACGTTAATAGAAGCAAATTACATACATCAAATAAAGGAATATGGCTTATTGGATAAATCATTACCAATATACAAATAATAACAACCATGAATTTAGAAGTTTTCTTCGTTATTTTAATATAAAGCATGAATTTTCATATTCCTCTCCCAAGACTATTATAGAAGAGTAATAATAATAATAAAATGTGTAGATTGTATTGGTTGATTTATAAAAGTAAAGAAGTAGGAAAAAATTAATGAAAAGTCTATATTATTCCTTCCCTCGATCCTCAATTATTATAAATCATTCCCAAGTGTAAATTTAAATTATAATCGCATAATAAACTTAACATACAGATACGATAAAAACTTTCGAATAGCTGATATTTGTGCATATATACTATTGTTTAATGAAATATTAAGAAAACTTATAATACCATACAATCTTGTATAATTAACAATTATACACGCGTATGTTAAGGAATAAAAGGCAAATTCAAGCTATTATTATTATTAATTTTTTCTCGTTTATTAGTATCATCGAATTATTAATTTTTATTCAAAAAATGTTTAAGCTACTCGAGTGAAGTAGTAGTTAGCAATTTTGACAAATAATTATAAGATTTCCTCAATAATTTCATTCCAACAAAATAACTCATGTCAGTCCTAATTAATTATAAAATCTAATTCAAATATTTCTATAAGAACATAATAAGGATTTTTAACAAAACCGAGTACACAACAACTGCCTCGTTCGGCCTGATTTACCTTAATATCTATTTATGATTATTAATTGGAATATCTTTCATTAGAAAAATTATGAATTATTAACTTACAATTACTAAAATGGCATTTCGCTATTTAGAATAGAATTCAAAGATAATAATTATGGATATAATTTGTTGATAAAAGACCGCGAATTTGATGAAATAACAAATTAACAAAATTGCAACACTCATTACCAAAAAACTATTATAGATGTTCTTCGGAAAGTATATGATTATCTCGGCATTAAAATTATTTTAACTCTTAATGCTTGGAAAAGTGAATTCTGCCTTCAAAACAAATCAGTCATTGGAAAATAAAAATGACGAATAAAATAATTATATCGTTAAGAAATAATTAAGACGAGAAACAATCATGATAAATCAAAGAGTCAGCCACGAATGAAATATATTTACAATTATAAATTATTTAAATCCTTCAAAGTCATATAAAACAATCGATGATTTATCATACATCATTTTGACATGTCTTCATAGATAAATGACGTTAAAATATCACGAAAACACTGTTCAAATAAAGACTGAACGTGCTTCAAAAAATTTACAAAAACATCATCATCAATCGACAATGGCTCGTAGTCATTAGATTATTCGTTTAAACGATAAAGTACTCGAACAATTAGCCTACATCAATTTTAGATTTTGTGTTGCGAGATATCGTTAGACTTTTATTGTAGTCATTTTACTTGTAAACATATCTAATTGCATTCTTTAGAATTTTTATTAAAACAAAAGACATTCTTCCGACTTTGGAAACTTTAAATGATTAATGCGCTCGCCAATTTTACCAAGAGAAGTTGTTAAAATTCATAAATCTGTATACATTGACTCTCATTAAATATTAATAAAGTATATCACTAAAAAATTGAAAAATTTCTCTCTCTCTCTCTCTCTAAGTAAATTTTAATTTTATTTGTTCATTAAACGTACCAACCAACTACATGTGGATTTTTAACTTTGAATGGATCAATTTGCCAACTCAATCTATCAATTTTTCTTCGTTAAGCCATCTACACTATACTCGGTGCGTTTATTCTTTTGTTCTCGTGCGTACTCGAATACGTAAAGATAACGGGCGACCAAGTTATTAAATTACTGATAATAACGATTTATAATCCGAGCATGTTAAGCAGCCAAAGGTCAAAATCGTGAATATGCCGAGAAGGCACGCGCGAAATGATTTATTACATGATCGGGACAATTCGTTGCAAGTTCACTATTCTCAGTTAATGTGGATGTAAAATACAGGATCATTAATGGAAAATGGAAAGCGCTGAATTAATCAATTCAATTATATTCTTATTATCCTTGACAACAATCACAATGGTCCTAATAGAGTGATTATGTTATGGCATGAAGAACGAATGGCACGTTAATTTAAAATTATGTCTTCAAGTATTATAATAGCGATCATTATGGTACGAGAAGATGGAGCATCTTGATTTCCATTGGCTTTCGATAGTATCGTAGTCTCAAGCCGGCTTGTCATTTATATTATGTACGAAAATATTCATTGACTAAGGTTGAGTAAAATTTTCTTTCTTGGAACACGCAGAGACGCACGAAAATCTGCTCCGCCTTACAGATATAAAACGTAGAAGATCATATCCTATAAATGGTCAAAGTGGATTACAACTCTGATCGTCTGATATCCTGTCATTATTGAATTGTCAACGACGATCGATTCGTCGCGCTTACTGGAATTGAATTGTCGTAATAAAATTATCCTTAGAAATGTTGGCCGTCCATACAAGGACATTCAATCTAAGCTTAATTTCTCACAATCAAAAGAACATTATCCAATACCCTCAAAGAATTATTGTTATTTCGCGATAACTACGCCTTCTGAGAGAAATTTGATAAAGTTATGTAAATATTCTAAAAATAAGCTAAATGTACAAATGGTATTGGTCAAGCATAAATAATTTGCATGCAACTATTCAGTGTTTCGTCGAATTAAAAAAAATCGTTTTTCCAACATCACGTCATCTTGTTACAGTGTCTATATTTATTATACCAAAGTCTTCTTACGAGTTGTGCAAATTAGTCTTTAATCATTCGTAATATTAAATCGAATTATTACCGACGCACTAACGTTGCTTATCAATTCTATATCCACATCAGCTTCTTGTACGAAGAATAGATTTTGTTAAAACTATGAGATAAAAGGCTTATTTTTTTCAATAATCGTAGCTATTCACCTCAATGCTAGTAGCTACAAATATTTAATTTATGATATTATCAAACTGCTTAATAGATAATTAAAATATCCAGTAATTAAGATGGTGGAGGATAAATGAGCAAATCAATAATTAATTATATATTAATAAATAGAACATTGTGACTCTTAATGTTAATTTCATTATGAATTTTATAGAAAATATGCGAGTTCTTTATTCCTATTTATCACTATAAAAGATAAAAGTGGTACCATGCAAACTTTGACATCATCCAGGCTTTCATAAGACATGGCAGCAGTTCAATTAAAAAATGTTCTATCAATCAGTGGAAAATAACATCTTAAGATAATCTCCTATCCTAAGCGTCTACATGAATATATATATATATATATATGTATTACAGAAAATTTTTAATATAAATTTCGTTCAATAAATTAACAATCGATTTATTACGTAATGTCGACTAGATTACGTATAAAATGAGGATTTCTAATGTGAATATTTAAAAATTATATAAGTACATGGTTTTTTTATTAACACGTGCACAAATGCATCGAATGCATTTTTCACTCGGATTCGCATTAAACAATTTCTCGAATGATTTAATATTCTTGTAAAATACGAATAATGATTGATTTCTCTATAAAAAAAAAAAAAAAAAAATTATTCGACATAATCGACAGATACAGATTACATTCATAAACTATCGTTAATTCTATCGTGAGTATTATTTTAAATAAATTAAATTAACGTGAATTAAAGAGGATTGATTATAATATCAATATTTTATTATTTTACCGATTGTTGACCCTCTCAAGTTATCAAACATCAGTCTTTAAATATAATTCGCTTTAAATTTTTCTTAAAATATGTGCATTTGGTCTCTTTCACTCTTTTATAACCAAATAAAACATATTTTCGTGCCCTTCAAATCTTATATATTATTTTTCACAATTTTTTTTGCACTTTAATTTGTCAAGACTTCTATTTTCGAAAATAATAGAATTTATTTCTGTGCTGACCGGTTAAATACCGTCATCGACAATATCTTGATATCTCATGCCCTACCGTTCTTATCTTTTGTTTCCTTTACTTGAAATAATATATAAAAAAAAAAAAAAAAAAAAAAAAAAAAAAAAAAATGATTATAACTTTAATGTGATAATCATCGAGTGTCAAAATC